CACAAGAAAAGATGCCGTTGGGGGTAAGTGTCCAAATTCTAGAATCTGCCCTAGTGGGGTCTAAGACAACGTTATCAAGAAGTGCAATAAGGCTCAAAATATTGTCAAAGTCTGAGTCCCTCAAATCCCTTCTTAGACCCAAGTTCCACCCAATTCCAGAAGTGGAAGAGGACGGGGTGGTGAAGGACGAGATTGACTCATTTTTCAATCATGGATACTCTCCACCACCTTGGGAGCCTGTGCCAAAATGTATTGCCTTATTAAACCTTTTTCATTAGTCATTAGGAATACAGGTACTGATTGGCACAGGCCAAGTCTAGAAACATAGGTCCAAAGTTGAGTTTTACACACAAATGGCCATTGAAGATTGGAAAATGTAGTGACCTGGGTCCCTCAGTTTAGGAGGAACTTGTTTGACTAGGAACTGAAAAAGGTTGTAAGGCTTCTGGCAATTCTTCAAAATCAGGTATTAGACATTAATTCAGAGGATGAGTGGAGTTGGAAATGGAATAAGAATGGGTGCTTTTCAGTTAACTCTTTGGCTTGCAAGTTAAGCAGTTCAGATATTGAGAACTTTCCAAATAAGCAGATTTGGACCTCTGTCAGTCCTGAAGTTAACTTTCTGGTTTGGACTATGGCCATTAACAAATGCTTGTCCAAAATGAACCTAGTGAGGAGAGGGGTTCAGATTTCTGATATCTGCTGTGGGTTGTGAGAAACACATCCTGAATCCACTGATCATCTGTGTTTGCACTGTCCTGTAGCAGCCAAGGTATGGGCTCATTTTCTCAAGGTGATGGGACTTAGTTGGGTCATGCCGAGAATTCTTTAGTTGCTGGAAAATCAGATGCTTGAAAGAAAGAGGAAAAGTGGTGTGGAAGACAATCCCGGCAGCTGTTCTGTGGACCATTTGGTCTGAGAGGAACAACAGAGTATTTTGTAACAAAAAGAAGAGTCCTGAAGAGATGGTGCAATGTGCAGTTGGCAAGCTTACTTCCTGGATTGCTGTCAATCCCGCTTTTAATCATTTGAATGTATCTCATGTATTGAGAACTCAGTCTCGTGTTTGTAAAGGCATTTGTTTCAGCCTTTCTTGGGATGATTGTAGTTGTATTCTAGTTCTCTTTTTTAATGAATTTACTTTACCTTCTCAAAAAAAAGGGAAAAAGATTGCAACTTTAATAAAATTCTATTCCGTATTAATAATCAATTCATACAATAAAATAATTAAATGAAATTGAAAAAAAATTACAATGGAATTGAAAATTTACAAATAACTCACAAGTTACAAATAAAATTAAAATTCTCAAAATTTACAATAATCTCAAAATTTTTCTTCAATTTCAAGTTCCACATTCTTCTTCATATGGTGATACATTGGATGATGTGTCATGTCCTCCTTTATTCCCTTTTTTCTGTTGCTCCATGGGGCTATACAATGGGGGTAGTCCATACCCCCAACCTTAGTGCAGGAGGAACTCGATCACAAGCCTTCACTACAAGCAATAGGAGGCCTTACCAACCAACTAGTTGGCGCCCTGCATGTCCTCCTTTATCTTGTAGCCTATCTTGCGTCTAACCAATCTTTTAGGCAAATGCACATCTCCAATGTTTCATTTGTCATCTGGCTTCTCTCATCCAATACTTTGTTTTCTACACTAAAATAAGATTTTGATGCTACTGTGGACACCGGAGGATGTAGTATACCATGTGTCATGGCAGAAAGCACAAGATAATTATTTTCTTTCCACCAAGCTAAAATATCAAAATTATCTATTTCCTCAAATGTGAGGAAACTTAAAAAAAACTATTTTGCAAATAAAATTAAGTTCATTGAAAGGTGAACTTGAAGTAAAAGAAGAATATGGAAACAATGCATCTATTTATTAAAGACCACATCTTAGTTCTACCTAATATGGTATTACTACTACTACTACTACTACTACTACTACTACTACTACTACTACTAGGTTTAACATGTAGCACTGAACTATTTTACATATTATACGTATCAAATAATATGTTCTCAATATTTTTTAAATTTAATTTCCATTTGTTCAACAATATTTTCAAAATATTCTTCATTTCTATGTTTCGTAAAACACTCACTAATTAAATATAAGTTATTAAATAAAATAAAGGAAATTGGATAATAAATACTAGAAAAATGTTTATACAAATTCCCATATCCCAATCAAATCAGTTATTATATCATTTGGCATTCTTTCATTATAAACGTTTGTTAATATTTCTCTATATACTATACTATTTTCCAGTGTTTTAAAAGGCTTGGGAGGCGTACGTCTGGAGGCACGACGCTCCCAAAACGCCCTGAGGCGTATGCCAGAGGCGCTGATACCTTTGAGGCGTACGCCTCTTGCGCTTTTTTCATGAGGCGTGCTAGAGGCGTACGCCTCTTGCGCCTCATGCACACCTGATATGAAAATACAGGAAAAAAAAAGAAAAAACAAAAAAAAAGGAAAGGAAAGGAAAGGAAAAGAAAAGAAAGGGAAAGAAAAGGAAAAGAAAGAGAAGAAAAAAAGAGAAAAGGAAAGAAAAGGAAAGGGAAGGGAAGAAAAGGTAAGGGGAAAGAAAATGGTTTGCCCCCTGCCCCTTCCACTTTAAACTATTGTTATGCATCTTTATCCTTCTTAATATAAAAGATTTTTATTAAAAATAAAGAAAAAATGAGATCCCCCCTTCCACTTCATCCTCCTCCTAACCCCCCTCCTCTTAAGAAGGCTTACACCTCCTTGTGTTCAGGAGGCTTACGCCTCTTGCGTTCTGAATTATGCCTCACGCTTCTAGGTAGTGGAACACCTCGCGTCACACCTCCGCGTTTTAAAGCATTGCTATTTTCTAACATAGCATAGGTGGAATTCCACCTATGTTGGAGATTTAATGAAACTTATTTATGAATTTTTCCACACTGATGAAATAAATTTTTAAAATATTGTTTTCTTATACCTGAAGATCTATCTATAAAATACAATTTCTAATTTTTGAACATGTTGTGAAATAATTTCTAAACCTTGTACAGATAAATTTAAAATATGGCAAGCAAATCCAATATGAAATAATTTTCCTTCTAAAAGAGGTTTTAATTGAGATTTTAAAATACTTGTAGCTAATCGTTATTACTAGCATTATCAAACATTATTGAAAAAAACTTTATCTTCTATACCACATTTACGTATAGTATTTTAAATACTAGCTGCAATAGCTGGGATAGTATGTGGCCATTTTAATCTTGTAAAACTTAAAATTCTTTTATGTAAAACCCATATCTTATCAATAAAATGAACAATTACAAAAATATAACTAATATTATACCTAGAAGACCAAACATCTAAAGTAAGAGCAATTTTACAAGAAAGATTTGTCAAATTAGAAATTATATTTTGTTTATATGTTTCAAAAATTTTGATAACATCTAATCTAGTTGTATTCCTATAAACTTTTCTACATGCAGGATTAATTGATGTTTGTACAAAATTTTCAAATCTAGTATCTTCAACAAATATAAATGGTTATTCAACATGTACTTTATTTATACCTAGATAATGCTCGTCTCATTTTCTCTTTTGAATAGTGAAAATTAGAAAATGGTCCAGACCCAAAAGCAAATTGGGTTTGGTCTAATTCATTTTTTGAGTTTGTTGAATATGTTTTAGCATATATCTTCTTAAATGGCTAGTCCCACTACTACTTTGATAACTGAATTCACTTTTGCATTTAATGCAAACTGCTCTCAATCCCTTTCCCAATAGTTCTTTAGGCTCAGTTTGGAAAGAGTACAAATACGGTAGAGCGTAAAACCTTATATTTTATATTATTTTGTATGTATTTACACTGTACATATTTGTATTTGTACTCCTTCCAGATCGAGCCTTAAGTGTAAAATGTTCCTAACAATTGCTAGTTTTTTCCTTTGATGCCTTGAAACCTAAACCACTAGGACCTGCCTCATCTTGGTTCTATTCAGTAGTGCTAGCACCAATGTAACATACTATTATTGGGCTTCAGAATCATCAAAGCCAGTAACGTCAAAGTGAAAGGTTGTTTAGAGGACTGACCATTTTAATAAATATTAAAATTTAAATTTATAAAAAATCCTACTAACCCACTAATTGAAGGTGACTCTAAGGTGGTTGTTGGATGGTTGGATGGCTCTAGACTAGATTGTTTGGTGTTTCGAAGAACTTATAAACAAAGTCAATTGGTTAATAAGAAACTAGAATGCGAGATGCCAAGGGTTTAACAAGGATAGCTTGTTAAGAGTGAGGATGCACCTTGTGCCTCCCTTAGACATGCTTGTAACAGTCTTATCTTTTGATTAACAAAATATCTTTCAATTATTAAAAAAAAAAAAAAACTAGTGGTTTATAGCCGTTGGGGAGCATTTAAGTCATTTTGTGCACCCCCTTTGGCAGAATACACAATACCTCCCTAAAGTAGTTGTTTATAGCTATGGGGGGGTATTTTTGGCATTTAATCCCTCTAAATCGTCATATAGCCATTGTAGCGGTCACTGAACCACAAGGCTGGCACAGCCCGTTTTACACCTCTAGCAATACCTTTTGAAGCAAAGGGAGCTATACTATAGAAACTCATCTTCTTTCGAACTTTTTGGGACATTTGGATGGGAAGATAATGTTACCTATCCAATATTTGCTAGAAATTGTAATTGGAGACCAAGAGATAACTCAATGTGGCCTTGCCTAGGTTTGATAGTTCATAACAAGGGAGAGATTGAGGAGGATATCACCCATATAAGTAGAAGGATGGGCAAAATCGAAGGTTGATCTAAAGTTTGTGTGATAGGTAAACCACTTAGATTAAAAGGAAAATTCTATAAATAGTTTACGGCTGGCTATGCTGTGTGGAGCAAAGTGTTGGGGAGTCAAGTAACATGTCCAAAAAATGAATGTAGCAAGAATGCGTATGCTTGGATGGTTGGAAAAACTAAAAATGATAGGGTTAGAAATAAAGTCGTTTGAAGGAACAAGGTTCATGATAAGAGTAGCTCCAATAGGTGATAAAATGAGGGAAAGTAGACTTATAAGATGGTTCAGTCAGGTTCATGGAAGACCATCAACAGCTCCTGTAAGAAGTGATCTGTTGCAAGCTGGAGGGGCTAGAAAGGCTAGGGGCAGACTAAAAGGTACATGGGTTGAAGTAAAAAATTGATTTAAGCACTCGTAATTGAACAATAGGTACTGCATTAAACGGAATGGAATGGAAAAACAGGATACATGAAGTTGATCCCATATAGTTAGAATAAAGCTTAGATGATGATGATGATGATGAACCCATCAAAACACAAGAAGCGAAAAATTATGGGTTTTTGTCTTGAACCATTTAAGTTCTGCCAGATATCATTAGAGGTAGCTAATTCTCTAGCAAAAAAGGAACATTGTATATTTTTTAAACATGCATGCACATGCCAGTAAAATTGCAGCTCTGTTCTTCCTGATGCAGGTTGGGTTTACTGAGGCAGGTATTTGCCATGGATTTGTACTTTGGATTGATTGGATACTCGATGTTGACCACTCTATTGTGCTGTCAACAGGACCAAGTAAGTTGTGTTTCCATGTTAAACTATGTTAGAGAACCTGGTATAACTGCTGTTGTGGTCAATAGCAGTCAGTATCGAAATCAAAATCCCTTGGAATCAGAATCGGAATCAGAATGGTCTATTCCCATAGTCTGTTTGGTTGAGACAGGAATGGAATTGGAATTGGAATAAGCTGGAATGGGATTTCATTCCTGAGGGGGGAGGGGATTGCCATTCTCTCAAATGGGGGAATGCCATTCCAGTAGGAATGGGAATGGGATTCCAATTCCACCCAACCAAACAATTGGAATTGGAATGACCCATTCCAATTCCAAACCCCTATTCCTGTTAACCAAACGGGCCCTGAAAGTTGTGCATTTGTGCTTTTTACCAGTGTGAAACTTAGAACTACATATATATTCTCATTCTATATTACCATGGAATCTTTGTTTCAGAACATAGATATTGGAAACAAGGAGTAAAACTCCTGAGCAAGCCTGTAGCAGTTGGCAACCATGGATCTTCTGGTATTGGTGATTGTTCTTTCACTGAAATTGAAGCATCATTTAACCCATCAGATGGTGAACTTATTATAAGACATGATTTTTTGTAACTGAAGGATATGAAGGGATAAAATATTTAGACAGTTCCTGTTGCACAAGCTTTTACTTTCTTCTTTTCTTTCCTTTTTTTTTTAAGTTTCCCTTTACTGAAAAACTGTCTTCAGAATAAAGATATATAGAAGGTGTGAAGAAACTGTCTTCAGAATAAAAGGGATGGAGATAGAGCTAAAAATATGCAATGACTGAAAAAATTCCGCCACTGAGCCTAAAGCAAAACTGAATTTTCTGCAATTGGGCATGTTGCAAGGTAACTGAACGCCATATTGTCACGGTCATAACACAAGTTTAATCTACCTATGCTTGGTGGGAATTGGGATGCGTTGAGTGGCATTATTGTAAATTTTCTTCTGCTGCCCAAGCTTACCCCGTAACAATATGTTAATTTGATTATGGGAGACTTGTTCATGGTCTAGTCCGGGCTGGGCTTTGCCTCTATATTAACAGGATATAGAGGCCCAGAGCCTGGCCCCACTATTGGGCTTAGATCTTTATTCTGATTCCTGAGCTTGGCTCCCATATAAAGCCACCAAGAAAATTAGGAAAGAAGATTTTTTTTTTATTTCTACTCAACAATAAAACTACTTTAGTTATATTAAATAGCCTAAAAAAAGTATGTATCAATGTATTATATATTTTTATTATATAAAACATTTAACGTCAGGCTCAGGCTTGAGTTGCGGTTTTTTTTCTTTTTTTTTTTTTTATGACAGCCGAAGTCCATCCTGAAAAAAAGTTGGACCTAGTATTTTGTGCTTGAGTCAGCCTGAGCCCACATGTTTAAAATCTTGTCCAATCCAGACCAAGAATGGGCTGGGCCAGCCTTGTCGGGCAGTTGGGCTACCCGGCCCATGAACTCATATGGGAGTGATGATCCAATAGGAGTGCAATAATTAATAAGCCGTGAGCATCCGCTATGTTGGCCAGTAGGCTTGAAAATTCAATATATGCTCTTTGGATCACACTGATGTAAAAACCATATCTATCAATAACCAATCCAAGGAGTTGACTTGTTTTCTTTAAAAATTAATAAATTATTCAAAGAAAAATAAAATATACTAACTTAAATAAAGAAAAAACAAAAAAAAAAAGTATTTTTTAATTATTTTCATCATATACATGTTTTTTATAAAAAATAAATAACAAATTTCTAAAAAATACAATATAAATAAATAACATATATATTTTATATAAATAAATGTCCAACATATGCTGAATCGGACAGGGGTGACCCAAATTCGACCAAATAGGATCAGATCTCCAATTGGATCATGATCTGATCCATTTGCACCCCTACATTTAACGTTTAACCTGTGACCTAGTGATTGGGTTGACCTGAATCAAACGATTTTTCTTTCCCAAAAAAAAATCAAATGATTTTAATCATCTCACAATTTTAAGAGAATCGGACTTGAGTCATAACTAGGTGGTCTGGGTGACGATTTGCAGTTGGAAGAATGGACGCGTCCTTGTTTTCTTAATGCATGCCATGCAAGAATGTTTACTTGATTTAACGTAATTTCCTAATATAATACAAGTCTAATTCGAATCCTACAAAATCATGGATCTAGGCCCATCTGATACGATTTGATCCAATCCGTCCACGTATTAACACCATCAAATTGGTCTCTTCAAAAGATCAATGTGTACACACCAATAGTAGTTGTTGGTTTAAACAATAAGTGAAGCAAATATGGGATTTTATTTTATAATCTCACTAAAAAGGAATGGGATTTTCTTTCTTTTCTATTATTATTGTCCTCAATTACATCATCAGTATGCAGAATTCTCAGATTACACTAAGAATATGGAGATAAATTAACTGTGACAAGCTCGATGAAATGGTGGCTACAAAAGTACTTTGGTAACATTTCAAGGCATGTGAAATTGCCAGAGGTGGGCCCGATTGGGGTTCAAATTCAAAATGGCGAATTACTTTTAGATTCCATGTGCTTCCTGTGGTATCATCAATTCCCCATAGTCATCCACTACCACCTGCATTAAAATTACCAAAATGAGATAAACCCACCAAAGGTTCAGCAATAGCAAACGACCAATGAGAAAAATTAATACCTCGTATCGCTTGCCACTGCAAGTGTACTCGACATACAATTTTTTGGGTTCTCCAGGACAGGGATCACAGAAGCCCATAATGCCTGACTTCTTTACACCCTTATGAAGCTGCAAAATTATACCGTCAGATATGCAATGTGAATTTAAAATAAAGAGTAACAGAGGAGATAATGAATACACAACAAAGGAGATAATGAATAGGAAGTAGCCTACAGTGTTAGAACAGGAGGGGGCAAAATGGAGGGTATTTCCAGACTATTATGTGATAGGAGAATATCACTCGCTAAAAGAAAATTTGTATAAAACATTAATAAGTCCAGCAAAGTTGTATGGAGTCGAGCATTAGGCAGTCAAGAAACATGTCCAAAAAAATGAGTCACAAAAGTGAATGTTGAGATGGATTTGTGGGAAAAATAGAAAGGATAGGATCAGAAAAAGAACTCATTTAAAGGAACCTAAGTGCTCACATATAAGAGTAGGCAGAGAAGAACATAGTTTGCAAAAGGTATGATTGTTGCTAGCTCTTCTGATTGTTGAATCAAAAGAAGATTTCACAGTAAGCCTACAACCCACTAATTTCAGCCACCTAGTATCACGTGATAAAGGGTTGATATTCATACTTCTAATCTACTTAACAGATCAACACATTTCTCCAAGTCTATCCAAAAGCAGTCTTCTAAATGCTGAATACCAAACAACCTGACCTTACAATAGTTTCAAAACATCGACTCGGTGTGATATCTTAAAAAATTATAAGTCAACACAAGGAACCATCAATTATGTAACATAGCTTGCCAACCTCACATCGTTCATTCCTGTTGGAATAATGTTAAAATAACTTGGTTGCAGATGTTAGGGCCTGTTTGGATAATTAAAGTGTTTTTTTTATTTCGTTTTTTTATTTCTGTTATGTCTGTTATTGTACTCAGGGGCACAAGGGTCTTTTCCCTTGTTATTTCTGTCGCCCTATATATAGTAAAATA